AATTTGGTGCTGCTAATCTGCTGTCAGCTAAAACATCAGATAATCAAGACCTCTGAAAATTGCATTAACAATCAGTGGTGGGCTGAGCAATGGATGGAGATTTTGAGATATGAGTTCTAGTTCCTGCGTTGCCTGTATTTAGCTGTGTGATTGTAAGGAGACATATAGCTTCTCTGGGCCACACTGGTCCCTTCATTCATAAAATGAGGAACTATTTGTATGTATGTCCATGTGTGTATATGTTTTTGTGTGAGAGACAGACAGACACACAGAGATAAATAGATATCACAACTAGACCTATATTTCTCTGGCTACCAGGTTAAAAAAAGGAGAAATATACATGTAATGTTTTTGTGAGTTAAAAGAACTCAGGAGGTGGAGGGTACCACTGACTCTTAAATTGTTGAATTCAAGGACACTTTCAAACATCACCTCACTTAATCTCAATGCTCTGAATTTACTTCTAATCATCTCTTTACACTGTCTTCCTTTTGTTGCACAGAATAATCATCTCATTGTTGACTTTATGAATCTTTTCTTCTCATTTCAATCTTGGGCTTTTCCTCCAACAACTCCTTAAGCAGACAGAGTGAGTGCCAAAGGCAGCCCATGTTAAAAAGTAAGGATGATGAGGAGTAATTAGCCAAGGAGCCTGAGAAGGAGCTGCCCATGTGAAGCCACCTAAAGAATGTGCCATAGTGTGTCAGATGCTGCTGGTAAATTAAGAAGGATGGGTACTAAGGATTGACCAAAGGATTTACAGGTATGGAGCTCATTGATGACCCTGACAAAAAGTCAGTGTTAACAGCTCTGACAGAATAGAGTGTAAATGAAATTGGAAGCAATAAGTATAAACAACAACAATTTTGGTGAGTTTTGCTACCAAAAGAAGTAGAGAAATGAAGCATTAGCAAAAGGGAGAAATGGAATCACGAGAGATGCTTCTTTTTTTTTTCTTTTTTTTCCTTAAAGAGAGATTTTTTTTTAAGATATGAGAAATAGTAGAGTTTTTTGTATACTAATAGGAACAAACCAGGAAAAAGAAAACAGTAATGATTCAAAAAAGAGAAAATTATTAATGAAGAACATAGAACGAAAAATTCATGAAACAATAGGCCATGAGTACGTGCGAAAGATGGGTTCTCTCAAAGAAGTGGAGATGCGTCCTTAGCTTGAACCAAGGGCAATTCATCCATAGCAACAGGTGTGAAGAGGGAGAATCTGCACCCAGAAGTACACAACTGGGCAGACCTGTGTCACTATACAGAAGTTTCTTTCTGACTGCTTCTATTGTCTCAAACATCAACTGAGAATGAACAGAGAAGACTTGGGGATTTCTAAAAGAAAAGGAGAGAGAAAGGAAAGGAAAGAAAAAAAAAGGAGAAGGAATGATTTACCACCTAAACATGTGGAAGTGTGGTATGAGTGCAGGTAGCCCAAAGGATCTGTGTGGAATTAGGAGTACAAATTCAGAGCACATTAAAAAGTACAAATAGATGTTTTTATGTTTGTTTGTGTGTTTCCAGTCATCTTTAGTTCGATGAGTGCAGGTAGAAAGTAAGTGAAGAAATGGATTTAATCAGACCTGGGGAGAGAAGTGAAGCAATGATGTAAAAGATTTGAGATCATATGCAAGACAATAAATATGATAAAGGAATTTGGAAGTTAAGCTGGATAAATAAGGAAGAAATAAGAACAAAATGAAAGTAAAAAGTTCACTTAATCGATGGATGGTACATTCTTGTAAGGTCAAAGAATATTTCAGTTGAGGTGACAAGAAAACAAATAAACCAACCTTTCTATTTGTATTAGACTGACCTTTTGGCAGAGTAGTACTCTATTTTCTTGTGTGCATTACAGAAGTCTGGAGGTTGAATGGGAATAACTCACTAAATGCAGAAGACAACAGATGTGCCAAATTACACATTAGTGGGGGTAAGGAAGTTAATAAAACAAAATAATCTTTTACTGGGGGTCTGTTTCATACCAGGCACTATCCTAGACATTTGGCAAACATCATTTCATTTATTCTCTAAAGCATCCCTATGAAGTGACAAGGTAAACGTAATTATGACTATTAAAGAACCTAGGTTCTGGGTTACTCTGAGTCTGGCAAAAATCACAGAGTTAGAAAGTGGGAGTTAAGACTGAAATAGATGTACATGTGACAACAGTATTTAACAGCTTTCCAATCCCCAAATGTTTAATATGGATAATGGAATGCTGTTGAGAGAATAATCTCTCTTGTTATCATTTTTCTAGACTTTAGAAGTAAGGCAGGAGATGGGTTAGTAGAGCAATAGATAACAGAAGGTATCACAAGCCCAATAATACTGAGTGCCTCAGTGACTGACATGCTCTGAGTTTCAACACACATCAACTGATTCAATCCTCACTATTTTTGCTGGGAAAGTAGCTCTTTCCTCTTCTTTGATTAATATTTATTATATTACATATAGGATGTTATATTAATAATCTAACTCCATCTTATGCTTTATTTTTTAATTGTAGTTGGACACAATACCTTTATGTTATTTTTATGTGGTGCTGAGAATCAAACCCAGAACCCCACTTGTGCTAGGTGAGAGCTCTACCACTAACCCCCCTGCTTTATTTTTATTTAAATCCATTTTACCGTGACCATACAGAGAGAGAGAGAGAGAGAAGCATTCAGAAGTCTTTTTTTTTTTTTTTAATCACCTTGGTTATTTTGCCTTTGGAATTGCTAAATATTTTTCAACATCTCAACAAAATAATAAGCTTTTAAAACTGCAGGCATTAGAATGATTGTCATTCATGCAAATAATCACTTACTTACACTATATGAGTTTGGGTTGTATAAAGCAAATTACCATTTGAAAATAATTCAAATAACACTCTGGGCTAAGACCTTGCTTATGAATGTTATCTTGGCCACAATATTTCTTAACCTTCTTCTATTTAGCTAGATTCCTTTATGGTAATATGGTTCAAATTAATAAACTATTCAATTGCCATAGGTGTATTAAACATATTATGTTATAGAAACATATCAGATGTAAATGAATTTTAAAACACATTATTTACTAGGAAACCTATAGCAGTAACAAGATGAGCTATAACTACCTACTCACTTACAGATGTACAATGCTATCTCTGAACAAATTAAAAACTTATTTCTAAAAACAAACCCAATATTTTAAAAATTCAGGTTCAAAATTGTGTTCCAGTGAATAATAAGTGTAAAGTATAACAATAAGAGTTTTCAAAAATTGAAATTTTCCCATCACACCTAAGAAACTATGTCTACAGAAATATATACACACACTTATACAGTTGGCCCTCTGTATCCATGGGTTCCCCATTCAGGGATTCAACCAACTGCAGATCCAAATTATTTGGGAAGAAAGCAATATGTCTGTACTGAGCATACACAGACATTTTTCTAGCTGTAATTGTTTGACTAATGTCATATAATCATTATCTGCCCAGCCCTTATATTGTATTAAGTATCACAAGGAATTTAGAGATGGTTTAAAGTATATGGGGAGATGTATATATGTTAATATAAATACTATGCCACTTTACATAAGAACTTGAGTATCTGCAGATTTTGATATCCTTGGCATTTAGCTCTTGGAACAAATCCCTCACACATATGAAGATACGACTATACACATACACACATATGAAAATTCACATGCCTACACACACACACACACACACACACACACCTGAAAACTGATTGTCATTATGGTTGCATTTAGCTTTATAGTTTTCAAAAAGGCAAATAAATCATGAAATGTTATTAATAAATGACCTATAATGACAGGAAGTTTTAACAGAAATTAGAATCAAAAGTTATGGAAGCTAAACTTAATCCAGTCTGTGACAATGACAGGGTGATTGCAAGACAGTCTCTACTTCTCTGGACTTCTGTTTTCTACTATGCACAAAGTAAGGATTGGGCAAGGTGGTCTAACTTGAATTTTATGACTCATTAACTTGATTTGGTATGGGGAGATTTTTTTGTAGATGAAATACTAACTAGTAAGACACTCACATAAATCATCATTAGGGGTGCAGATGAGGACTACTGACCCTACAGCAAAATCTGGGTGAACTCAGTAAATCTAGAACACAGAGACTAATGCTGACCTTCTGCACAGCACCTAAGGACATTAAATCATCTCTGGCCTTCATTGCAAAGATGGGGTAGAAACAGCTGTCCCCAAACTTCTTCTAAGGATGCAGTTACAAAACAGCAGCATACCCAGCTAGTGTGAGTCCCACTGAAGAAAAAAAAAAACTCTGTATTCACATAGGACAAATATTCCTGCTAGTAGTAAAAATAGTTTTGCTAAGTTTTAATCGAAAGTGAAAAGGGATTCCAGAATGTTCCCTTAGAGCCACATCATCCATTGCTAATTCAGGGTGGGCCCAGTAACAAGGGTAATAAAAAATGTCCTTAGCAAATGAGAAAGAGAAATGGCAATTAAGTATATTGGCAACCCAATATGGAAGGCTTAACTCATTATAAAGATAATATAAATAATAAAAATGAAGAAAGAAAAAGATTAGAGGAAAATAGCAGTGAAACTGAAAAGTCATCCAGAAAATGAGGTTTTAACATTACTTTTTTAAAGAGTTATTATTATGCATTTAAACCAGTGGCTCTAAGGCTGGATATAAAAGTTGACAAATATGCTTGACAATGACTTTTTTAATAAATAACAAAGAAAATTGACAGTAAGTTTTAAAAGCCAAAGCAACCTACTTTGGGAAATAAATAACAGTAAAAAAAGGAAGAATTCAACGTCTGAACTAACCACCCAGTGATCCAATGGACATACACGTATTGAAAATCTTAATAAAGTACAGTACGGTGAGAAAGAACTCATCTCTCTATTAACCATGCTTATGCCAATATGTTTAAATTGGCAGGAGAAAAACCACTGATTTCTATACATTTGAGAAGTAATTTATGATACAATATTGAGAACAGAGTCAAACACACTGACCTGCTCACATCAGGAAATCTGATGGGAAAGTAAATAACTTGGCACTTGGGTCTGATGATGCTTTCCAGATCCTTGGGTCTGTGATCAGGAATCAGTTTCATAAATTTTCCAATGGAAGTGAGAAATGACTCCATATTGAAAACTGAGTTGAATACCACCACATCAGCCACCAAGCTTTAAAGGAAAAAATAAATAAATGCAAATGATAAACTCAGATTCATTCAGAGAAATTTTTATAAGCCTAAAACCTCTGTGTATTAATTATAGTTTACATTGTACTTCAGGATTCCAAAGAGCACTTCACTTCCCATCAGTATCTCTCAAAATGTCTCTATTAATAGATAAGTGAGTTTCATTAGTGTTGTATCATGGGAAGTTGGATTGGTGGCAACAGGGAGGAAAGACAACAGGCAAATTTAATGATTCAGTGGGATCACATGGGACTTCAAACCAAAACATGCTTCCCCATAATGCCAGGAACTTTCCACATTACCAACAATATTTAATTTAGAAAAAAAAATTTTAATTGTAGCCCATCTGCCAAGATTGAGTTTCTCTGTCAGTGATATACTTTGTTTTATACTGTAATATTAAGGAGGGAATGTTTGCTGGACTTCTTGCCACCTTCATTCAAGCTAGGCCGTGGTATTTTCAAAACATTTTGGTCAAAGTCTGTAAGTGTATTCTCTACTTTAGATTTTGCTTCAATAAGCTGTGTTATGTTTTTCTGGCACATGCCTGTAATCCCAGTGGCTCTGGAGGCTGTAGCAGGAGTACCATGAGTTCAAAGCCAGCCTCCAGCCAAAGCGAGGCACTAAGCAACTCAGTAAGACCCTATCTTTAAAGAAAGTACAAAACAGGGCTGGGGATGGACTCAGTGGTTTGAGTGCCCCTGAGTTCAATCCTCAATAGCAAAAAAAAAAAAAAAAAAAAGAAAAACTGTTACGTTTTTTAAAGTTCTGAAATTACATGGGAAGAGCAATAGTATCTCTACAAATCAACTTATTTCTCTATATTATATTTGGGGTCATCAGAGAAGTAGACAAATTAGGAGAAATGGATCTAGAAATCCATATCATTTGTCCTACTCATTATATATACAATGAACACAATACCACAACATTTAGAATTAAACAAAACAAATATACTACTGATTATTGCTTTTGACAAATAACACTGTGCTCCTCAATATTTTACAAAAATAACATAAAAATATTTTTATAAGAAAATGTGAGGGGGAGGTAGGAGGAGAAGGAAAGAGGAAGTACTTGGGACTGAAATGTAGCAAATTAGATTCCATGCATGTACGATTTTTTAAAAAGAATAAACCCCATTATTATGTATAACTATAATGTACTAATAAAAAATATTAAAAAGGAAAAGCTAAAAAAACTGAAGAGGAAAACATGAAAGCAAACTTTATGTGATATAAACATGTCAGCAGTTTTCAGATTGCTTGTAATATTTTCTTGGACACAAGTGAACACAATTGAGAATCATGGATGAGCTGGATAGAACCTGAATGTGTAGTATGATCTTTTTATGAATTAAATTGATTTAATAAATCACTGTTTGGATTTTTGAAAATGACTTCTTATCATTTAACCAATGATTCAGTGTCACTGGATTTCAATGAAATGTATACAAACACTTCCAAAAAAGGATACAGATAAACAGATACAGCAATTTTATTTCACCCTGAAAATGACAGATCAATAACACTGAAAGCATTAAAGTCCATAGGACTGTAAAACACAATAAAATAAGTAGCGCTTATAGATAGGATAGGAATGCCTTACCAACTCCTCAATTTCATTTATACCATACTTCCTGGGACAGCCAGATTTACTATTATTAATACACAGTAGAATGAAAAAAATCAATGAGCAAAATCTTATCTTTACAAAAATCATACATGCATGGAATATAATTTGCTACAACTTTCCTCCAAAATTCCTTTTGCATACAAGTTTTTTGGTTTTTGTTTGTTTTAAAGTTCTTACCTGGTGCAAATCTGGGGGAACAGTAATGTCTGCAACATGGATAAAACAAAGGAAAGCATAGAAGTGCTGACATGACACTAAGCAATAAGGAAACCAATATAATAATATCCCAAAAGTTGAAGGATGTTTTACAGCTAGCCTGTTTTCACCATATGTCACATATTGTAATAGCGACCCACAGGTCATAATATACAGTTACGACATGTGTTCATAAGTCAGAGGGTTAGTGAAACCTGTTTAAGGTGAGTGCTTATGTCAGTCATCTTTAAAATCCTTAACTGCCACACAGTCAAGGAAGAAATCTGACAGTGCCAACAAAAGCAGAAGTCAGCAAGAAAACTAAAGAAACATTTGAGAAAGCAGGAGTCATACTTTTTGAAGAGAATCAGAACAAGACTGTTCTTTGACACTCTTATTTTTCCTCTGGACAACTGTGAGCCATTTTTTTCCCATTAAGAAGCCAAATGATGATGAAGTTCACTTCTTTCTTACCAAGCTTGTCTATCAGTTTACCCTCTTAAGAAGAGAAATGCTGAAAAAATGTGTGCAAGCTTTTACAGACTCATTCCCTGTGAGTAAAACCAATTTCTTATAAAGGAAAGGAGGGGAGTGAGGTAAAATTTGTTTTAGATATCTGTTCTCAAAGGGCAGATAGCTAAAACCCAACCACTTACATTCTTAAAAATCTAGTCTGTGCTAAGTGAAAGACACAAAACTCTTTACAGAAATATTATTTTTGGTGCATTTGCTTCCTGATATGAATGGGTATAACTTCCATTAACTTTAAAGCCACCCATAAAAGGAAAAATAGACTTAATTTTTTTTTCCCCAGTGTTTTCTCAGGGGTAATAAACACACACTATCTGAAGAAAAGAATGATGCTAATTCAAGAAATCATAGGAATATTACAAATGTTTTCCATATTGATAAAGCACAAAATGATTTTATTTTCATTTTTCAAACATATTTTCCTTTGTTTCAATATAAAATAAAGTATTTTAATTTTATTATGAAATTTTAAAACAGTTGCTTTTTTATGAGACATTTGACGTGAAGCAGTTCTACTCTATTTTGATAGCACTGCTACTTCACAATTGAAGCAGCCTGTAAAAATGATTGCAGGAATACATTTACAAAATGCTCAAAACACAGAATTATTACCATATAGTTGTTTTCTATGTCAACTACACAATGAAACAGACTTGCAAGAGTTGAAGGTCTGCTGAAACACATCATCAATCCCAAATGCTAATAATTGTTAAAAAAAAAAAAAAAAAGGTGAGCAAAATGTATCCAATTCCTGCCACCAAGTCCATTTGATGCATGTGGTTACTTGAATAAGATACAACAGCAGTCCCATTTTCTGGAGTTGTTATTAACTTATTTCATTAACTAACCATCAGCAGATATACTTTGTTGAAGTAACAATAGAAAACGACCCTCACCTTTGAAATGTCATGGTATTTTAAGACTGTGTCATTTCAGAAGACTCAATGCGGGGGGAAAACACACACAGAGAAAGATTCATTTTCCATAGTTTTCTGCCTTAAAACAACCAAAAATATAGGGAAGGCAACATTTCTCAATCTATTACATTTTAATTTTTTTATTTCTCTGTAAATTCCTTTTTGATTGTTGTTGAATATAGTGAAATTAGTGGGTAAATGTGAGTTCACAAACTGACCTTTCTAAAAGTATGTTTTAAACAATAAATCATGGGATCAAGTGGTGAAGGTCTCTGTCAATCTTTTGATTCTATTTTAAATGTTGTGAAAAATACAGTTAGATAATTAATTCAACATATAATTAGATCATTACATTTATGTATTTTATAAAAGGAGTAGCTGTGATCTTATATATACTAGAGAAGTACAAGCAGTTGGTACCATTAAAGTAATATTTAAACATTTACACCTCCCTAAAGGTGTTTATAAGTATACAGTAGGTCTCCATATTTAAAAGCTAACCATCTATAAAGAAAAATATGGCAAAGGGGTAAATATGATGCAACCTATACCCACCATGAAATAATTTGGTTGTAACCATATTGAAAATCCCTCTCTTGACATTTCTTGACAGGATATACCAATTGGTTCTCATGGAAGTACAGAATCTTTTTCAATTTCCCAAGGTCAGGCCGAAGGGCAGTCAGTTCCGTCAGGTTAAGTACTGAGCTTGCAAAGAGGATCCTAGGAAACAAAGAAATTAGGGTTTACTGTCCCAAGCATGCTTGAAGAGGTCATCTTTTGCCCTTTTCTCCTCTTTCCACTTCCCATCCCAAGCAAAACATATCCCCTCTAGGGACACATCAATAGTTGAGCCCTAATACCATGTAGCAGCATTCTAAGTTTGATCTCTTAAAAAGCAGCTGCTAAGAACTATAAAAGCCCTGAATCTCATTGGTCTACTCAGCTCAGTTACTGAGAGATGCAAAAAAAAGAAGAAAAAAAAAACCTGGATGGATTTTATTGAAAAAGGCAAGAAAAGCTCTATCTGAAGGACAAATGGAACAAAGATAAGGCTGACTGGGGAATACTTTGCTTGCCAGTTTCATTACACTTTACTTCTTTATGCAACCAACTACTGAAATTCAATATATAAGTAGGAATGGCACATGTTCATGTTTTGACATAAACCCTTTTGATTTATGCAGTAGACTTATCTAGTATGGTCTTTTTCTCTTGGCATTTTTTCTTGCCCTCCTTTTAGAGTATCCCATAATTCTTATATTTATTTTTTTTTTCTTCTCCATTACTAGACTGCTAATGGCACCAGATATACAATCTAAAAATCCCTTATATAAAGCACAGATAAGAGGTGAAGGAAGGTTGATTCTTTGTCTTTGGATAAAATGAAACTGAAAGCATACATCTATGCATGTTTTTAAATAAAAACAAGTATGTATTCATTCTCTCATTTCACAAGCATTTACTTAAATGTCTAGTAGGTGACATGGTCAAAACAGGAAGAACAGAAAAGATGGGGGGGGGGGGGACAGCTTAGCAGGATGAATACTGACATACACAAAGTATCAGAGGAACAAACAGAAAGGAGTACTAATCATCTGGGACAAGCTAGGAATGCTTCCCTAATGCAATGCCTACCACAAATGGACACAAAAAAGGAAAAGAAAACCATCCCTGAGCAGCTGAGAACATTCAGATGGCACAATTTTAACAGAATGCCACCTTTAGAATATAATATAACATATTTGACCCGTAGAGCTTGAATTCCCATTCCAAAAAAGTTATGGTCAGGAAGGTTAAGGGTTTTTTTTTTCCCCCCCTAGGATCACCCTGATAGGAAGTGGCAAAGCAGAGACTGCTGGTCTTCTAAGCCTGAAGTGCTTTTTATTACACACTGCTCTGAATTGGTTGTGGACCACTTACATTGCAAATGCTTTTTTCTGTACTTAATAAATACAAAATATCATCCTTGTTATTACCATGATTACAACTACTATAAATCCTCCCTTGCTGACAAGCCAAATGGCTAACTTCAGGTGTTTATATGATCTGCAGCACTAGCCTTTCACACAAGAAGAATGATGACATAATGAGTGCATGTATCATAAATAGGAATTCAAGTGCCTTCTTCATGGCACACAAGAAGCACATAAGACCAAAAGCTAACAATCCCTCTTTAAACCACATTGCTCCAATAATGTTAGGGTTTATTTCTTTAAAGTTAAACAAAAATAAAGTTATTACCAATGAGGTGCATTTAGTTTTTAAACTGTTCATCTATATACAACTAAAGCAAGAAGTAAAATCATGGTCACAAAATGCCCTATTTTGTTCAAAGATATCCCCATCACCACCATCAAAGTATAAGCCTTTCTAAAACTTACACTGAAAATTCTGAAATATGAAGATATTTAATTATTTACAACTCTGATCCTTAGTGAGGAAAACCACAAAACCCTAATTTCAATCAAACAATACTTTCCTTAAAGGGGAATGCATGGCATCTTGTGGGTCTAGTTATTGAGTCATCTTCCTTTACTCCTATTCTCCCTGCCCCTCCTCACTACCTACACCACTGTAAGCAATGATTCCCATTTTTAATCATTAAGTCCTGAGCAAGCTCAATGTTTTTCACACTCAAAGCAGAAAAATGAATTAAATACAGCCCCTATCTGACATTAATTACAAAGGAAAAAAAAAGGTACCTCTTATAATGAAGAAATCGGGTAGATACCAACTTAACCAAATAATCAAACAATATGATCAATAATTGGATAAAGTGGAATCATGTATTCCCAAATATGATGTACTGAGATAGATAAAAATCATCAATGTAATATTTCTGCTGCAAATGCCTGATCTGAATTTGGCAATGAGGAAATGTTCAAATAGCTTAAAGAATAATTGAGCTGGATAACCAAAAATATCAATGTCATAAAAGAAAAAAATCTAACTTAAAGGAAAATAAAGAGTCTCCAAAACACATTCCAGTGTTTGATCATTGAGCGGAATACTGGAATAGGATAAAAACAGAAATGAAAGCCATTATCAGAGCAACAAGGAAAATGTGAATATAGGCTGAAAGTAAGATTTTTATCAATCTCGAGTTTCTTAAATATAATACTTTTATTGCAGTCATCTTAGAATATTCATGTCAAATTATTTACATGTGAAGTGTCATGATGTCTGCAACTAGCTCTTAAAATACTTAGTAAAAATGCTACTACTGCTAATAAATATTCATGTGTATACAACTACAAAGAGAAATGCCAAATGTATTTTAGCAATTGACCGATCTGAATGAAATTCCGTATATGCAATCCATTGTCCTATTGCAAATTTTTGGTGAGTTAGACCTTTAGAAAACTCTGGACTTGGTGGGAATGTGAACTGAACAGTACTTAAGTAGAAGAAAAAAAAATTCTACATTCCATAAAAAAATAAGCGCATCATAAGTTTCTTGACATATCCAGTCATCAATTCGTAGGTCAAGATTTTCTTCAGAGTGGACTATCAGTAGCAAATGTTGAGCCAACGCAAGTCCTTCACTCCACTTTTTCTATATGCCCACTCTCCATGCTGATGCATAAAAAGAACGAAACCTTCCAAAGAAAACCTCCCAAATAAGGGAATGCACTACAGAAGAGAAATGATGACGATTTTCATAACATTAACCATTTGAGACTGCCCACTTAAACACTTCCTTCAGTTTAATCATTAAAAGAAAATCAACTGTAATTTTATGATACATCTTGAAACAGTACTCATTTATATCTCTATCATTACTGAAGTACTAATCTTGACTTTATTATTTGTAAAATGTTGCTTAAACTGGACCACAAGCAATTCCTTAAATCTCTAGTTTGACACCCCAAAGAAATGATGAAGGTGCCCACAAAAGAAATGCAAGCATAAGCAATTTTTACTTTTCCCTCTACCATCACTTTTTAAAAGTTGATAATTACACAATGAATGGCATCAGTCAATCAGCAGCTAATCCCTAGGCTACCAATGTTCACCCTGCCTCAGGTGTTATTTAAGCAATAAATCCTAACAAGGTGTGCTTTATCATCCCACAGTGTGTCTCTGGCAGGAAAGGGCACAAGGTGATAGCAAAAACCACTAGGAACAAGATAATTCCTGACAGCTGCTGCTTGAGCGCAAGTTAAATTGAACAGTTTATCTCAGCATGAAGATGTTATAAGGTTTTATGTTTAATATTTTTAAATTAACATAAAACCCTGAGAAAGCAGTTGGACAATCTTTCACAAACATGACATACTACAATCACTGTATAAGCTGGATTAGTACTTATTACCATGCTACTACAGAATTAAGCTGTTTTTAGACCACCAAAGAGCTTTAAATTGCAACTTTTGTCTCTGTAAAAGAAACCTATATTTAAAATGTCTGCTAAATTCAAATTAACGGCTACATCATTAGCTTACCATTTCACCCAAAGTACTAGTAAGTTGCTATTATAATCGTCTAACCAAAATGGCTCTATGCTGCAAGCGTATTAGCATCATTCCCCGTATTTGGGATAGTATCCATATACATGTTTTGATTGTTTCCAGCTCACATTGTATCTATAATTTGAGTCATATTTGCTTAAAGAATACAAAACAATTTAACACAATAAAATTTAAGATTAGGGATTGTACTCTTTTTTTTTTTTTGCTCGGTTTGAATCACCCAGTTGCCTGCTTTTCACTCTATTTCTATGTAAAAAGAGATGCCAAAATATACCTAAGTCCTGTAGGAGTGAGAGCATTATTATCAAGATGCTACTTTTATATCTTAAACAGTATGGAAGGAAGTGAAATAAAAGTACAGAGGGCACACATTCAATATTCCAGCCACTGCCCATACAATCTAGTAATAACCCTTCATAGGCTATGTTATCTCACTCTTGCCCCTTGAAATCTTTAAAACAGGCCCCCTCCTCCCTGAAACCATTTATCACATAAGGGGAAAGAGTAAACAATTTAACACAGATAACAGTTTGAGCTGTGTAACTCATCTTAAATAATTTTTTGGTATGGCTTCCGCAGCCCTTTGACAAAAGAGCCAATTCTTCCAGCTGTGCCACTTTGTTCAATAACCTAAACTCACAATATGGATTCATGTTGTTCAGCCTCATTACCAAAGTTTTTGTTCTTGTCTTCTCTCTCTTGGATTCTTGTTTGTTAATACCTACTCTGCAGGATCCTAGTTTCTATATTTTCTGTGATGATGGAAAAGTTCTATAACTCTACTGTCAATATATGACGAGCTACATATAGAAATTAGTACTTTCAATGTAGCCAGTATAGTTCAGGAACTAATTCCTTATTTAATTTGATCTGGTAAATTTAAGCTTAAATTTAAATGAATAGTCATATGTTACTACTGGTTACCATATAGGAAAGCACAGCCCTAGATAGACCAGCTTTCCTTAACCATCTCTCCTTTATCCATGGAACCTAAATGCAATTGTTTGCCTGATTTTTCTGAATAGATTTTTGACCCACTTGTGATAACCTAATTTCTAAGTTTCTCTTGATTACTTCAGTTTTGACTACCAAGCTCTCCAATCCTGAAAGACACTACATTTTTTTTCTTGTAATGATTAAAAAGTACATACCCCTTATAAAAAATGTTTTAAGTACAAAGAAATGCAAATTAAGTGAATGACACCTATAATCAGCCCAAAGAGGGGTAGCTACTATTCACATTTAGGT